CTTTACTCGCTCTAGTTCATCAATTTTCTGACGCAGCTGCAAGCATTGTAAAAAATATTATGCCTTGGCACACGAAGATACGTAAGTCAATGAGATTTTCATCCAACAAAAAAAAAAAACTTCGCACTCTGCGCCTACAAAAAAAACCACAGAAAGCCAGCGTACGACCGGCTTCGTCTTGGCGGATAGTTGTTATCTAAAAGGAAAAAGTAAATTCCTTGTTCCGATCGTTATTCAAAAACCCATCGTATTGAGTCAGGAACCCAATCTTTTGCAGTCAAGAAAACACCGAAGTTTCAAGTCTTTCGGATGCTCCATTTTATGACTAGTTTGAAATTGAAGGAAATGCAATAATAGGCCATGCAATGCTATGCTGGTAGTTCACCTTGATTTATGTGATCACTAAAATTTCAGCTCATAGCTTTGTTAGTTCTCGACCACAAAATCAGCTAAATTTGAAATTTGCCATCATTATGCGGTGCCATGAATGGAATGCCGAGACCTTATAGCTTTTCTGCTCCTCATCAACTATACACAACAGACCTGTGCTGCATCCTCAGCTCTCAGAGCTTCCAGCTCTCTGCGCAATCCATCAATTATATCATCCTTGTCACGACTCGACGCCTCCAGGTTGATTAGCCTGTACAGTATAATGCTTCATTATGACAAAACTCTGATGTGCGTATAAGACCCGAAACATAGACTAATTCTTTTTTACAGCCTAATAATTTCTGGGGATTAGAAAAAAAAAGCCGTAAAATGTTTCAAAATGGCAGCATCACAAGAAAAGCAGCTACAGTAACAGCTTGCAAAACATTCGGTTCAACAGCATAGCGTCTTCGAATTGAAGAAGGTTCAAAAAAGAGAATGATGAAACTGGCAATTGTATACTTAGTGAGAAGGAATGCGACAAAGGAACTTATTTTTTACAGCTTATCAATATATGAAAGTATTTTGGATTCAAGTAAAATAGCAAACTAATTGAATTGCAAGCTCATAATGGAGATTTTCAATTACGAGGTCATTTGAGTGGCTGAAAACTTTCCTCCCCCTTTTCCTCCTCTCAGCTTTTTTCAATCTTTATTTCGCTTTCCTTTTCTTTTCATTGCTTTGTTCGTATGGTATTCGTGCACATGGCCAGTACGAGGCTGTGCTAATGACTCGCAATTCTACCAGCACACTGCGTTCAATCCGTGTTTACGGCTAAAGGATGAAACAAAGACTCTATCTAAATATATTTTCTTGTACATGATGCTTAGAATGATCCTTGTCTTCTAATTTATTATTTCAGCTCCAAGATGCTGTGCGTACCTGTTATTGGCATCCTGGAGCCACTGACGATGCTCGCCCAAGCTCCATTCTGCGTCATCTTTCTGCTTCGCGATCACCCCCTTCTGCTCCTTCTCAGAGTCCAGCTCTTTTGTTAAATTTTCAATTTTTTCGTTCAAAGTTCTGAAAAAACAAATTTTTTATCACAGCAAAGAGTAGTGAGTTCATTTGACTTCGTCTTAAAACAAAGCACAATACCTGCCGCCTGCTTTTGCGACAAGCACGAGTGGTGATTAGAAATCAAAATGTTTCTCTCTATTCTCTTCCCCAGAGAGATGGAGAAACTCGAGAAATGGCGCAAGCAGTGACAAGTTTCAAGAACAATTATCCTCTGGCGCAGATATTGATGGCTGTACCTTCGAAGATTCTTTACGACTAAGCTGATAATGGGTCCGACTCCTTGCTAGTACCAATTACAGTTGTAAATAGTGAGGGATCCTAAACGGACTGGCTCTCCACCGATGAAGTCGAACCATCGACTTATTACATGGTAACAGTGCTACCTCCGTTGTTTGATATCTGCTGGTTACGGATGAGAGTACGGGCCGAAAATGTGATCCAAGTGAATCTATATTATTTCGATAACTACAAGAAAGGCAAAACAACAAGTGATCTAAGAAACAGAGCGAGAGTGTAACAAAAAATTTTTCAAAAAATAATTATGAAACAAAAGAGCTGAATACACTTATTAGGAAAGCTTCTTATCAGAAAGTAAAGCTGAGTACACTTATAAGAAAGAGCACAGAAAAAGCGAACTAACCCAACATCTTCCGATTTTGGCGCACTTGCCAGCTCACATCGCAATTGCTCGTTTTCCTGCTGTAACTCACTGATGGATCGATCTTTGTCATGAACAAAGCCGTCTAGCCAATTCGCTCTAAAAAACATTTCATAATACTGGGAATGACTCTTGATGTGCTTTTTTTCCTAGGATAAGGATGCATTAGTATTACTAACATTTGCTGAAACATCAAAACTGGCTTCCCTAGCCCTTTTTTCTCGACTGTCCTTCAAAGTTTTAATGCCTTATCCACGCGTCAGTTTCAATGGCCTGAGCAGTATTTGAGCTCAAAGAATTTACAGTTCGTCAACATTTAATAGTTAAAAATGCGTCGAACAATAATTTGAGAGGCTCAGTTCAGGTAGTGCAAATTTTAAGCAGTTCGAAGCTCAAAAATGCCCAGTTCAACATGCTGTTTCATGTCCTCGCACCAATAGCCCCACTGAGAGTGTGCGCAATGTTCTCTTGTCGCCAGAATACGTCTTTGTTTTTTACGAAAGTTATGCAGTGAATGGACAAATTGAAAACAAAAAAATATCGCACCTATCATTGGCATCCTTCAACCACTGGATGTGCTCTCCGAGACGCCACTGCGCATCATTCTTTTCCTTTTCTAGGCCCTCGAGACATGCTTCCTTCTCATGCAACTTTTTCCTCAGATCATCATTTTCAGCTTTTAAGCTTCTACAAGCAATAGTCATAGTAAGCTTTTGAAACACTCTGATGATTCCACTTATGCTTTATTGCTATCAGTTACACACAGCAGAGCCGACAAGCTGAGACACAAGTGAATCAATGAATTTTATTGAAAAACATTTTAGATTAGTTGAAATACTAGCTAAGATGAAAGCTAATTTTTATTGAAAAAATATTTTAGACTGATTTTTTAAACATTAGCTTTGTATTGTGCCTAATTACACCAGCAAGTGGAAACAT